ACCCGCCTACACAACGACCGCTGTGTCTTCATCAAGTCCGACGCCTCCGGTTTCACCATTGTCAGCCTCTACGTGGACGATCTACTTATTCTTGCGCCTACTCTTTCCCTTGCCCTCGCCTTGAAGGCTTCCCTCTCTCAACGGTTTGCCATGAAGGACCTTGACGAAGTCTCCGACATTTTGGGATGGCAAGTCGAACGCAACCGAGCAGCCAAGACCATCTTTCTACACCAATCTCGCTACGCCGAAGCCATCCTGGACCGCTTTGACATGGTGAACTGCAACCCAGTTTCTACGCCTTTTAACCCCAGCCTCACTCTATCCGCCTCCCATTGCGCGACGACGCCTCACGACTTCGCCTTCATGATCGGCAAGAACTATCGCTCGGTCGTCGGCAGCTTCATGTACTTAGCTATGGGCTCGTCCCGATCTCGCCTACACTCTCCAACAACTTAGTCAGTTTCTCCACAACCCTGGTCCTACTCATTGGTCTGCCGTCCAACGTGCCCTTTGTTATCTCAAAGGCACCCGCACCTATGGCATCCGCCTTGGTGGCATCGCCTAAATTAACGACTTTCCTTTTTTATCCGCCTACGTCGATGCGAACTATACTATGTGTGTTGACACTCGACGTTGTATCAGTGGATTTTTTACCCTCTCTTTCGGCTCACCCGTGTCGTGGCTTGCTAAGAAGCAACCCCTCGTCACTCTGTCCACCACGGAAGCTGAGTTCGTTGCCCTCGACTTATGCATTCAAGAACTTCTCTATTTACGTCAACTCGCCTCTGAACTCCAACAAACGTCCGACCAACCCGTCCTAGTCCATGAAGACAATCAGTCCACCATCAAGATCGCTACCAACACCGAACTTCATGGCCGTTCAAAGCACATCGACGTCCGCTACATGTTTGTACGTGACCTCGTGGACTCCGGCGAATTCCAGCTCAAGTGGTAGAGCTCTGGCAACCAACTTGCTGACTTCTTCACCAAACCTCTTCCGGCACCCGCCTTTGCCGACCTACGATAACGCCTCTCCATCATTCCTCTCTCCGCCTTCACTACGTGATCTCAAACGCCTATCAATACATTTTTTATTATTATTCACAACTCTACTCTACGCCTTACCGCCTATCCGATCTCACTTTATTTTCTTCTCTTCGTCAGCGCCTATCGTCGCCTACACTCCCAATTTTTTTTTCTACTCATTTCTTCTCTTTGTCAGCGCCTATCGTCGTCTCCACCCTCAATATTTTTTCTCTTCTCTTCTTCTACGCCTACCATCTATTTTTTTCTCTTCTCTTCGCCTACCTTACTTCTTCCAATTTTTTTACTACGCCTTACCATCTACGCCTACCACCCACATTCCTTCTTTCTTTCCTCTCTCACTACGCCTTACCTGTCTACGCCTAGCAAATCTAAGTCATCTTCGCCTCCCGCACTTATTATTCTTTTTCTATCTTATTCCGCCTAACCATTTACACCTTCACGCCTTACCATTCCCATTACTATCTACGCCTTACCATTCCCATTACCATCTACGCCTTCCAGTCTACGCCTACCACGCCTAACCTCTATTTGCCTTGTGCATTTCCTTCTACATTTCCCTCGACAAACTTAAGTCTTTTCTCCTACTAGTACTTTTCACACCTACATATTCACCATCTAATCTACGCCTTTTTGCGGACACTCATGGCTCATGGTGGCGTGTGTCTGCTTTCTGCTCTTTGTGTGAGCCCTGCTGCCCGTTCAAAGGCGTGCCCATTTTTCGGTTTGTGAAAAGTGGTGGCTGTCAAGTGGTGCTTTTCCCTCGCCTGTGTTCACGCCTTTTGTCTTTCATTACTCTATTGCCTAGTCTATCAACTCTGACAGGCCGAGACAGTGGCCGCTTTAAGCCTGCATGTTCTGCATATTCTTCATGTCGCAACCCTACCCTAGTAATTGCTCACCCAATCACGGCTCTAGCAGAAGGAAGAGAGCGCTGATTCTCACAGGTCAGTGTTTCCCTTTGGCTGAGTTTTAGCCAATAGGAACGAAGCTAGATAGTTTGTAAACGACTGAATGTCACTTTTGGTTTCCCCCCCCTTTACCCAGTTGATCTCGCGTCTACATGAGCACACCACGGTCCGCTTCGTGGTCAACGGCTCCAG